GGCCTCAACTCCCTGCTGATCTGGGATCCATCACACTGGAGCCATTGGCGTGTGTCAAGCTAAATGTGTTATCATTTTCACCACAAATTAACAGTTTCTATGTAAATATTGGTATTTCCTCACCCCATAGAGACCAGAGGAGGTAAAATGGGACCGGCGCATTTGATTTAAACTAATTAAAAGCAGAGGGTTGTGCAACTCAATATATTGATTTTACCAGTGGGACTTAAATCTTTTATAATAAGTGTACACAGCTGTGGCGCTCTCCCCCCACCACACTGGGAGGCTAATCCTCACATTCCTCCTGACAATAACATGACAGGTCCCACACATCCTTGCCTGTGCCCTAACCCCGGCGACATTGCCAGAGAACATTAAGGCGAAGCTTTGCAGCGCCACACCAAAACGCCGGTGCGTCAACAGCCCCAGCTAAGTCTGAACAGGGAAGGAAAGAAAAAATGCCCATGGCCAGCAGCTCAGTGTAAAGGCCCTCCATCCACTGTTCCACGCATGGGCAGGCTGCGAAGGGCGGGGCGGGGCAGCGCTAGGACACTCTGACTCTTGCATGGGGCCAAATATGACCTTACTGCACAGGGGAGGGCAAGATATTAAAGTGATACGGGTGATCAATCAACCGAGATGGGGCTCTCCCTGGAATGAAGTCATCACCGGTCTCCGCGCGGCAGACATGTGATATGCGCTCATATCGCAGGTATGCTGGTGGTCAGAGATCGTCCACCAGCTGTGTTTATCTGGGCAAAGGCTCAAGAGCCGCCGAGGTAAGGCCCAAATCTCCGCCCGTGAGAGCTGTGTCTCAGAGGCACTTTCTTCTCTCCACGCTCTCAAAGAATAAAAAAACCACCACCTTTTGTTGCCCTCAGAGCAACTTTTATCTGAGCCGCTTCCCTTACCCCTCGACGGGGACCACGTCACAACCAAATGACAACCCTGGAATAAAAGCCAAAAATAGCCACTCAAGTTGGCATCCAGGGCTCAGCCTTACCGAGTCCAGAAGGGAAATATATACCGTATAGATGATCCCCGAAGTTCAAATCTGGGTCACATATATCCTTGGGAAAAGGGGAGGGGGAACCTTTGATTTATAGAAGCAGGAAAATGAGGTTTAAAAGAAGTGATCTTGAAAGGGTTACTAAAAACACAGCTGTTGGTATACTCCTATAGCGGAGGCGCGGTGAGGAGAAAGAAGGAACGAAAGAAGAAAGCAGGGGAAAGCCTGTGTGACATCTATATTAACCTCTGGCTGCTTACCAGTGAGGGCTGCGCTCAGTGCTGGAATGTGGGGCAGCCCCTTCCAAATTATAACACAAGCCAGGTTACAGCTGCAGATGCCTGCAGTCATGCTCCGCGGAGCACTCCCTGAAGGACATTTTTAAACTGTAACAGAATCTTTTTCTAATACTCGACAGTGGTAGGGCCTGTTCCGAAGGGGCAAGAGGAGAGATCTTAATGCCAAACACTTGTCAACAAAAAGGGTAGCCAGATGGTATAAGGTTAAAAAAAAAAAAAAAAATCAAACTGCATAGCCTCTCCCACTCTCCGGGTGCATTCACAAAAGCCACTTTTATACGCTGCCTCCAATAATGATAGGTTTCCAATTTTCTCATTTTTTTAAATTTCACTTCGAAGATTAAACAGATTTCATCCCTTCATAGCCTGGCCCAGAGATAAACCCGAGTCGCATGTCTCCTGCCAGCCGGCTTCGTTAGAAGATTCCAAAGAGAGCTGCCGGGCTTTCCCATCCAAAGAGTGATAAGGACTAATGGCTAGATTCTCTTCGTAGGATCCCCATGGCTCCCATGGCCCGGGGACTATTTAAAAGTGGGTAGCCTGTTTTGAATTCCAAAATTAAGTCTACATGGAGGAGTCAGGGGCTTGTTAATCCAAACCAGTTTATAAATCTTGCCATTGAACTTAAGGGGAAGCCGCAGCCCAGGAGCTCAACCGGCCTTACATGAGGCTTTAAGGTATAGGCTGATCTTTGTCATAAGGTACAGTGTGAAGTCCGCACACCCAGCCCCTGGTTTTGTCGTAAACTCCCCTGTAGTTTAGATCCTGCTCACCCTGGCAAAAAGCTCAAATTCCAAGGAGAAGGACTTATAGGAACAAAAAACCAGTTTGGCTGCAGACAGAAGGAAGAATAAAAGCGCCAGGTCTGCAAAAGCCTTCAGAATGCAGGCCGGGTCCCCACGCAGGCAGGCCTGCAGGACAGCAGAGGGACGCGGAGGGGGAGGGGCGGCACAGGAAGGCAGCCTCCTGAGACCCTTGTCTGCAGGCCTGTCCCCAGGAACAGTACCGAAGAATGGTTCGCCAGGAACAAGTGAAATTGTCTGACTCTTACGCACAGTGTGAGAACCACCCTGGCTTCAGAACACTTTGTATACTACTAGATCGACATGTTTGCAGTTTAAGGGCAAGCAGTGTGCGTTCTCGGCAAGCTCTGCCTCAGGACAAACCCCCCATCCCACTCCCCCCAACCCTAATGCTACCGAGTCCCTGCTACGGAGGAACTCCGGACAGGCAGTTAATTCCTGCGCGGCTGCAGAACAGAAATCAAAGGCCACCCTCCGAAACACCTACAGGAAGCCTCTTGCCAAACTGCAGTCCAGGTCTGCCCCTAACTAATTACCTTCAGTTTAGGGACAGAAAGAGAAAGAAAACAAGGTCAGCGCACTCTGTGAAAAGCCACTCCACCATCTAATTTGGAGTGATGTTCCAGAAAGCCAGACCTGGGAAACTCAGGACGGTCCCACAAAGCCCGAAGTCAGCCTGACTGACTAAGAGGCTCAGACAAGCTGGTCTTTGTCCTTTCAAGATGAAAGAAATGGATTGAAAGGTGCGTGTAAGGCCAGAGGAGGAAAGCCGTCCAGCTGTGGCCTTCCCAAGCAAGCCCCAGCTTGCTCCCAAGGCCGTGGGGGGAGCATCAGCCCTGCCCCAAGTTCCCAGCAGCACCCAATTAGCCACCGGGTCCTTGTCTGAGAGACAGGAGCCCTGGTCTGGCCAGGCCACCAGTCTAGAATCATCAGGGTCCTCCTTGCCCTGGGGTTTGGAGTGCTCAGAAGCCAGGGCTCACAAATACCTCTTTAACGACCGGGCTAGGCTGTGAATGCATCCGCGGGGGACCCCCTACATTCAGTGGGAGTCACTGGAAGGAACAGAACTGGAGGTGCCATAAATCTCCCACCCGAGGAAGGGCCCCGGGCCAACTCCCATCTCAGCAGGGACACAGAGTTCAGTGTTCATTCGAGTATTGATAGGTACGAGTTTTGAATTTTTCTTTAGTTTATGCTATTGGTAATAAAAGAAAGAGCCTTAGAAATATCTCACAGCAGGGCATGATGCTTCAGCATGCCTGTAATTCCCGAACGCTGGGAGGCTGAGGCAAACTGATCACAGGTTCAAGCCCACCCTGGAAACTTAGCAAGCTGAGCAGACCTGTCTCAAAATAAAAAATAAAAAAAAGAGGCTGAGGATGTAGCTCAGTGTGAAGGTTCTGGGTTCAGCTCCCCATGTGAAAAAAAAAATTTACACAAATAATGAAAAATCATATTCCGGCTCCTGCTTTCCCCACCCCCACCCCCGCCCCGTAAAATCCCTCTCCCCCGGGTCACAGGGTCTTTTTCCAGTGGAACACGGGTGATGCCCACGCACGTGTGTCACCGCGCTCGTCTGCACCTTGCTTTTGCCCTGCTCATACATCCTGGAAGATTGATCTAAACCAGGACACCCAGAGCCGCTTCATTCTTCACTAGTTGCTTAGTATAATGCAAACTTTTAAGTTATTCGGGCACCTCCGTCTCCCGCCCCGGCAGACAATGGCCTCCCAGGAACTGCGGACCTTATCTGGAGCGGAAAGCATTAGGGCAGATCCGGGCCTCCCGGGCCCCCTCCACGCCCCAGGTGCCCAGCGCCGGCTCCGGCATCATTATTTCCAAGTTGACACAGCGCCCGTGGGCGTGTTTGCTGTTTCGACTTGGTTCGGGCTTTCGCAGCAAGTTACACAAGAAGAATGAAAGCGGCCCAGAAAACAGCGCTATCGGGGCGTGTTATCTCGAAAACCAAATATTTGATCCTGAGCCCTGCAGCGCGCTGCCGGGGGTGAGTTTGGGCGAGCCTGGCGAAATGTGCGCGCAAAGATGAAGCGGGAGCAGCTGGGACCCGCCGCGGCTCCAGCCGCCCGCCCCCAGCTGGGCTCCCGGGGGCTCCCGTCGGGAACTGGGTCCCCTCACCGCCCCCGGCGGCGGCGGCTGCGAGGTCCCGCACCGCCCAATCGCAAAACCCCGTGGTTTGTGCGCCACACGTGATAAACGCTGAAAATGGATTCTGCCCGCCCGGGACCTATCATTAAATATTTAAAATAGAAAGTTTTCAATGGCAGCGTTGCTTCCCTGGCTCCGAGCGAGAGAGCCGAGAGGTGGGCGCGGGGCGGCCGGGGAAGGGGCCCCGGGGCGCGCGGGCCGGCACCACGCGGAGGCGGGAGCACGGCGAAGGGACAGGTAGGGCTCGCCTGGGCGGGGAAGGGACGCGACAGCCGCGACGCCTGGGCCGGGCAGCGCGGGGAGCCGCCGAGGAAAGGCGGGAAGGCAGCTTCGCCGAGAAGGGCCCTTTAAATCCAGGTATTGCGGGCCGCGCCGGCCGGGGACCGCTCACATGACCCAGCCCGGCGCTTTGAACTGAGCCGCGGCCGGGCCGGCGCCTCCCGCCCCGGAGATGCGGCCGGCGGCGAACCTCGGAGGAGACTTAGGACGGTCCCGGCTGCTAGTGACCCCCACCGGCCGGATGCGCCCCGCCCCCCTACCTATGGCGCGCGGCTCGGAGTCCATTGGGGGACGCGGCGGGAGACCCTCGGGCAGGCGCTGGGGTTTTGCAAACAGCCAGGAATAGAAAGATGGGCGGGCTGCACGTAAGAAGCGACTCCCTCCCAGTCCCAAAGCGCCGCGGACAGAGACGCGCGGCCCCTCCTGCCCCCCACCCGCACTCACCGAGGTTGACGAAGCTCATGACCATGTCAGCGTCGGTGAGGAAGTGGCTGTCTTGCAGGCTGGCCAGTGGGGGGCCCTGGGTGCTGAAGACGGCCTTGTAAGGGTAGGAGAAGCCCTGGCCGTCGGGCCCGCCGCCCTCCTCCACCGCCATGGCATTGTACAGGTCCAGCATGAACATGGGCGCGGAGTTGTGTTTGCCCTGGAGGTGGGGGCGCGGGCGGTGGGGCAAGCCCAAGATGGAGAGGATCTCGCGCTGCATCTCCCGCCGCTCTTGGCTGCGGAGGCGCCGGTGGATGAAACTCGAGTGCACCTCGTTGTCCAGGCTGAAGTCGCCTAGGGCGGAGCGCAGCAGGAACAGAGGCGCCCAGAGCGCTACGAAGCTGTGCGGCGCCGCGGCGCGCAGCGAGCGCACGTGCATCGCGCCGGCTCTACGCGCGACCGGGGCTCCCGGGCTCCGGGCACCCGGGCCCGCGCCGCCCCAGGTGGCAGAGGGGGGCAGGCAGCGGTCCACGCCGCTCGGTCACTTGCTGCAGACTGGCCCCGCTGCGCCCGCGCCAGACATGGCCACTCCCCGGCCGGCTGCGCGCTGCCCGGACCCCCGCCCTCTGCTCGGCGCCGGCTTGGGGTCCCTCGCCCCGCACTCGCCTGGACGCACCGCAGGGCTTGGAGACCAGCTCGAGAGAGCGAGCAAGCGAGGAGGCGGGCGCGGGTGGGAGGAGCAGCCAGCAAACCTAGGAGTCCGGAGAGCGAGTGCCGGGGAGCAGCGAGGCGGCGGGCGGGCGGGCGAGCGCTCCTTCCTCCCGCTCCTCTCGCGCGCTCGCCCTCGCTCTTCGCGCGGGCGACCCACGCTCTTCCAACCTCCGGCGCCGAGAGCCGCGGCCGGCGATTGCTCTTCCAGCCCTGCGCGCCCGCGATCGCACGAGAGGCCGCCGCCGGAGCCCCGGAGTGAGACGCGCTGGGGCCGGGGCGGAGAAGCAGGAGGACTGGCTTCCAGGGCCCCTCCCGCGCCGGCGGCCTCCCACCTGCCTTGGGCCCCGCCCTCCCCCCCCAGCCGTGCCCAATGGGTTCATTCATTCCTTTCCTTGCGCTCCACAAATATTTACCGAGTGCCCACCGGGTGCCGGGTGCTGGGCGTGACGCCCTAGGGATGCGGAGGCAGCAATCCCAGTGGGCCCTCGCAGCTGGGACGAGAAAGGAGTTTCGAGGCACCGGTGGGACTCTGGCCGCGGGGGGAAAGGCTGGTGGCGCTCGGAGGAAGCGCGGGACTAGAGCCAGGCTTCCCAGAGGCGGCGATCTTAACGCTTCCTCGGGCTTCTGTGCCCTCCCCCGCCATTTACTTCACCCACGCTGACCCTCGGCTGCCCAGCCTGCCTCAGCTCGTAGCCAGTCCCTCTGCCTGCAATACGCCCCACCCTGCCGCCTCTGGAGTGCCACTTTCTCCCCGGGACCTTCTCAGACCAGCGGAGCTAAGCTCGATTCCTCTCCCGACCCACTCCATGCACACTTGCGAGATTTCCTGTAATTTCTCTCACCGTGTGGCACTGCATGGTCTCTATTGTCCTGTCGCCCCCGCTAGAGACCCAGCGCCCCGAAGGCTTAGACCATCCGTCATTGCCAGGGCTCTGGCGCCCAGAGGCCTTGAACCCAGAGCCGCTGGGGCTGAGCAGTCAGCGTTTGTTGGTCGCACAGATGAAATCTGTGTGAGCTGGGGAGTGCGTCCCTGCCTTCTGAGGGTGCTTGGGCCTTGTGTTTGTCCCTGCCCCTCAGCCTGGGACAGGTCCTCAAGCTCACCTCTCTGCTCTCCCCTGAGACCCCGCTGTGCCTGAGCAGTGGACCGCGGGTCCTTACATCCAGTTCAAGGCCCAGGCCTGTGGCTGAGGCCTTCCCACCCCTCCTTTTCCGCTCTCCCCGTGTGTTCATCTCACTGGGGTGTGCACTCCGTCATGCAGACGCCTGGACAGCTCGAAGGTCCCCTGTCCCCTCTGGTGCAGGAGTGTAAATGAATCACTGCTCTGTGAGCCTCAGTTTCCTCGTGTGAAAAATGGAGCAAAATGGGCCTCACCCCGAGTCTCATGGATGGTTGGGGAGCTGTGCTTCTGCCCTGTACCCTGCTCTCCTGGGGCTGGACTTATGTGAAGGACAGAGTTTGGGGTGCACCGTGAGGGCTGAGTTTGGGAAAGTGCTTTGGGAGGACCCCCTGGTGATGCCCACTTGGGGGCTGGCTGGTCGCCCTGTGTGACATGATGTGCACAAGGCTCTGGGGTCTCCCTCTCGGGGCTTGTGGACCACACTGCAGGCTGTGGGGCCGCATGATGGAGGCGAGGCCCAAGGCCAAGGCAGGAGAGGTAGCCAGGGGTCTGCAGGGCCTGGCCACTCCTACCTAGGCCCAAGCTGCAGGGTGTCCTCAGTCCCCTGCTGGGCAAGGTCCTCCCAAAGCCCCCTGCAGCTGGCTTGCACCCGGCCGCTCCCCCACTGCACATGGGTGTCAGGGTGTCAGGAGGCAGCCACGTGGGCCTGCACCCTGAATGGACACAGCCAGTCCTGGTGCCAAGCACATGCTGAGCAGAGGGGCACAGCACGGAAAGACCCTGCCTGGTAGCCCTGTAGGGGAGGAGACGGGACAGGAAGCCAGTGCAGTTTGGGGACAGGAAGGGGGACGGTTCCCGCCCTTTGCTTCTCCCCGGAAAGGATGCAGAGGAGGTGCCCACAAGGATGGAGAAGGGAATGGGGTGTGCAGTGAGATGTGACCCAGGGACCGCCGGGGAGATGGCAGCCGTGCCCATGGCTTCCAGTGTCTGGGTCACTCCAGCCTGTGCTAAGAGGCAGCAGGGGTGGGGGAGACAAGGGGAAATGACAGGGGACTTCTGGGAGGGCTGCCCCTGCCCCTGCCCTCTCGCTGAATGGCAAAGCTCTGCCACCTTCAACGCCAACTAAGATGAGAGGGCTTCCTCCTTCCGAGTCCAGGATGAAATGCAGTAGGGTGGCTCTGCCCCAGCAGGCTTCAGGGTGTTAAGGGGCCCCCATCTTTGAGGGCTCCGCTAGTGGAAGCAGTGGGGGCACCGGGGTCTGAGTGCCAGTTTACATATGAAACCACTGCTGCTCCAGGGAAGTCCTGGGGCAGGACTCTGGAGTCCCCTCGCTGTGCATCTTGCCTGAGCCCACCTGGGCCTGGCACACTGCAGGTGTTCCATAAACGCCTGTCATGTGGCCCCCAGGGGGTGCCTGGGGCCACTCATTGGGCGGTTGCCTGAGGAGCCTTGTAGGCCCTCTCCGCCCAGGAGAAGCCATCTTTGCTCCTGGGAGCTCGAGTGACACCACACTCTCCACATCCAAGACCTGCAGAGATAAGGCTCCCTCTGAATTCTCCTACCCCCTATTTAGCCTTATCTCTGTAATTGTGCTGGGGGAGGGGTGGCCGCTTTCTTTCCCCAGTCTCTTCCCAGGAGGAGTCCCCTAAGTCTGCAGCAGGCCCTCAGCAAATGCCTGCTGAGTGAGTGAGTAGTTACAGAAACACAGGCAAGGAGTACCCGGCCTGCAAGCTGACCCCTCCCACGAAGGCTTTGAGATGGGTTGACCAAGGCCGTGGTGGCAGGTGGCAGCCTGGCTGCTGGGAGCCTGCTCACCCCTTGTCACCCTTGGCTCTGCCCCTTCCGGCTCTGTACCGTGGGTGGACAAGGGATTTAACCCCTCCATTGCCTCGGTTCCCTCATGTGTGTGTAAAATGGGGGGACTCAGAGCACCTCACTCCTAAGGTTGTCATGAGGGTTCAGAAGTCAATTCAACTCCTGTAAAAGGCTTTGCACGCAGCCTGGGGCACAGTCCCCATCCGGACAGGAAGGACAGTGCGTTCACGGGCAGGCCTCCTGCGTTTAAAGATACCAACAAGCCGTTTTCAGGATGGTCTGCAGAGAAAAGCAGCGTTACAGAGAGAAAGCACGCCCAGCCCAGGGAGGGGACATAGAGATGAAAGGGTAGCACTGCATTCCAATCCTCTCTTTGTCCCCCAGCCCCCACCCCAGTCCAGCCAGGGCCCAAGAACTCTCCGGGGGCCTCTCTCATTTCCGCAGCAGCCAGCCCCCACCCACACACCCCCAGAGCAGAACCGGTCCCCAAGCCGGGACACCCAGCCGTAATCAGATCTGGCCCAGTCTGCTGCACACCTGGGGCCCCTTTGCCCGGATGAAAGAGGCCCAGCACGGTGAGGGGCGTTATTGTGCCAGCGCAGGGCCTAGGGCCACACCCCTCATCCCCGCGCTGGGCAAGGAGTTTCCGTTGCGTGCACCACCAGTCACATCTTGCAGGAGTGATTCCGGCCGAGTTGGAGTGTGTGTCTCCAAGGTGATAAAGCGAAAAGAATTCTGCTGACACATACATTGTTCGCTGAGGTGGGGAACTTTATCTCCATCCCCAAAGCTCTCACTTCATTTGCCCAGGGGGAAGCTCAGGGTGCCCCGGGGGGCTTGCTGTGGGGTGCCTGGCTGAGCCAGGGGGTTGGAGGCTGCTCCTTCTGTGCACCCCAGCTGGCCAAGGTCAGCCAATCAGATCCTCAGGCCCCAGTAGGGAATAGAGGATCAAGGATCTGCTCACACAGGCGCTTGAAAATCCTACGGAGGGCATTGTTTCCACACACCTGAAGTGAGACTCTCCCCCGTGCACTGCGCCGGAGCCATGGGGTACTTGTACTTGCTCCTCCTGGGATGTTCTTTGTGCACTAGTTAAGCGGTGGTGTAGGAGACTCATCATCCTTTGTTGGTCTTAAGCGTATGTGGTCATAGCCACAGCTGCACATGGAAATCACAGAAAGACAGACACATGTACACGGTCCAGTGAAAGCTGACATTACAGTGGAATTCCAGAGCCTTGCAAACAGTTAGAGGAAGCTGCGGTTTTGTTTATTCCTATCATGGCTGTTATTTCTTCTCTCAGAAAAAGCCTGTTTTGGTCTCCAGCATTAACTGTCCTTGGTTCAACGTTAGGGGGCGCTCTTTCCACTCCTTCTTCCCGGGGAAACCAGTTTTTGCTCCAGCCTGCGGCACCTACTAGGCTGTGCTGGCTCCTGCATGTCCCCCTCCCATGGAGCAGCCTCTTCTGCTCCTCTCCTCTCTGAGAAGACCAAGATTCACTTGCCCAGAGACTCCCAGATAATCAGTGTCAAAGCCAGGATCCAAAGCCACATCTGCCTACAAAGCCCAAGGCCTCAGCCATGTTTAGGGACCTGGAAGCAACCCTTTCTCCCTTGCTTCCCCGTCTAGCTGGCCGAACCCCAGGGTCTGTTAAGACACAGGAAACCCGAGACTCCACGCTTGTAACCTGTTCCCAGAGGCTGCTGCCGCAGCTGCCTTCCATACCCGTCAACGAGCAGAGTTCTGAATTCCTGAGGTCACACCTAACGAATTATTGGGGGCTTCACATTGAAAATTTAA